ACTTTATATTATATTTTAACTTCATTGCATTTATAAAAAGATTTGCTTTGTGTCTTAGGTTGCAAAGCTAAAATCTTTTATCATCTCATATGCTTTAATTACTTCTACTACCCAACTAACATTTATTCCACTTCAATATCCTACAGGTAAATAACCTCTACAAAAATCCTCCACAACTGATATTGTCACCCCATCTGCTCAAAACTCAACTATTCAAGTCTCTTCATGAACTGAATCACATCACACAAACCTTCCCTATAAATCTCTTCTCCTCCCAGAGAAGAATCAGATTCCATTTCTGATGTTGCTTGCTGCTTCTACCTGAAGACCTTCACATCTTCAGACTTCACTTAAGTTTCCTCAAATAAACTTTCCTCCACTAACCCCATGCAACATGGACCACTGCTTTATTCTGCTGTGATGGAACCAACAGCACTTAAACATTTCACAGTATATTAGCAAATAGTAATCGACAACAAAACAATTAAACTGTCTTGGAAATTTAGAAGGATCCCAGAGTCTAATCCTCTACTTTTACTGGTGAGGGAAGCAACATTTAATGAAATGAAATGACTTATTCTATACCTAACTATGTCTTCAACTGTGAACACTGGATTTCATAAGGAAACTGATGCTTACCTGTACTCTCTGCTATGTATGCTCTGTTTTTTATATCCCCATCCCACTTCCTAACTCCCTGTAGTTACTGGTATAAAAATCTATACACAGCAGGCATTAACAATGTTTTCATTATTAGGTTAAAAAAAAAAATGCTACAGATGAAACAGGAAGAAAATGAAATGAGTATAGAGTGTCAGAAACTAAAGTTATAAATTATTTTTAGAACCATCCACTATCTAGTCTATATGATCTATACTGCCCTACTTCATCGGCTTTTTGTGAACTTCCAGTGAAAAAATACAGACAAAAGTTCTTTGAAAAATATAAGAGCTATAAAAATATAAGGCATTATACGTGGATCAACTAAGACCATTCCTCTTTGATCCTAAATTTAATTTTAAAATCAAACTTCCTTAGGCACGCTTGGAATCAGATTATAATATTTGCAAAAACAACGTAATATAAAAAAGCCACTTTCTTAACCACATTAATGATTTAATTGCTTAAGAATTTCCTCCTTTGAGATATCTGAAACATAAAAACAGAGCTATAAAATCCAACAACTAAAGACTATTTTTTATACCTACCTACTTCCAACGAACATGAACTGTCAACCATAGGATACATGTTTAGAAGAATAAAATTAAGTCAAAAGAAACGATTGTACTAGTAATTAATTATCTATAAAATACCAGAAATTTTAATTTATTATAATACTTCAACTAATGGAGATGTATTTCAGATGCTTTGTGACCATAAACATCAGAATTTTAATACTGCAAGCACCATGATACACTAGTCCTAGAGAAGGAGTAGGGAGAATTTTGAATAGAAATTATTGGAGCATACCAACTAAAATAATATCAAATACAGAAGCAAAAATAGACGACGGGAATCTTGGGGTTCAGAAATGGACTTAGTTCAGAGAAGGAGACAATACTGTGCCCTGGCAGGGTAAGGAGAGAAAAACACCCCAAAAAAATCTATACTGAAACGTGTCAAGCTCCAAGACACCCCAAAACTATTTTATTCTCAAAAGATTCACTAATGTAGAAGTAGACTACAGAAGTAAGTTTTTTATTCTTCTACTTTGTATCGTATTTGCACCCGTTTCATTAAAGCTTCAAATGACTGGGATACAATTCCTCTTTTCTTCAGTTCCTTGACGTAAACGTAGGCTAATCACTGTTTTTATTCAGCGTTTACCCTGTCATCTTTCCCTATCTCTCTTCCTTCCTTCTTCAGCAGACTCTGAAGAAAAATGAGAAGTGGATGCTAATTCCAAGGAAGAGCAAGCCAAGGAAGGGGAGGAGCAAGGGGGAAGGAAAAGCCAAGACACAGCACAGAGGTGCTGCTGTGACTTGGCTTTGCCATCCCTGCGCATCCAGCTGGTATCTGGGGAGCCATGATAAAAGAATTACCTGTTTTGTTTGTCTCTGGAATTAACATCCGCTCCTCTATCTATCAGCAGTTGACATATTGTTGGCCTACACATCTGAGTAGCCAGAACAAGTGGTGTCCGCCCATCCTAAGCAACAGGAAAAATAAAACAGCATTAAGACAACGAGTCTCCCAAAACATAAAACTTAAAAATACATGAGTTGAAATGAGAATAAACATAAACTGACTTACTACATCTTTGGCATTCACAGAGGCCCCATGGTCGCAAAGCAGCTGTATGCTAGAAGGACAGTCTGCCATTGCTTTAAGAAACAAAGGAAAATGATAAATGGTGAACATCTGTTGGTAAGACACCAGATGTTTTTCTAGGTCCACATAAAGGCATAAATTCTTTAATTTCTAAACTACCAACCTTCGCATCCTTCACTCTTAGCCTAGCATTATAAGCATCAATTTTCTATCTGAAAATGAATCAGACAAGATCATTTTATAAATTTTTTATAATTTATTAGGATCAAGGAATATTGTCAACCTTGTAGAAGACTATACCA